TACCAATGGCTGATTTGTAGTTTTGAAGCAATGTTTTATCATTTCTGTTTTAGAGCTTTTGAAAAGAGCAAGTTACCTAGCTGGGTTTTTCTTTTATATCCCAACTCAGTATGAAATACTGAAATGAGTATTAGCCATTGGCTTGACAGTTCTTTGTTGCAGGTCTGTCTCCTCTTCCCTGTGTGGGACAATTTTATATGTGTGAATCGGAGAAGAAACACCTGAAACGTTTCTTTCCAAGTTATAATTAGCAAATTAGTAACTTTGGATGCTTTACTGTCAAAATACAATGTGTCTGAAATTATTTCAAAGGCACCTTTTGCCTTGATATTAATGGCTCTATGTGAGCAAATCCAGACATGCACTGGGAAAGGCAAACTGTATGAGTGTGCATTTCTTTTTGAAAAAGTGTACGAAAGGAGCCAAATAAAACTTATTTTCTACAAAGTTATTTGAATTCTATGCAGTTTCTGAAGCTTTTTCTTGTGTGCATGGCCTGTTCTACATCCAGGCTTGCAATGCCCTACCATACCATGACCGCATAATTTCAGCTATATTTTTCAATATTGGATAATGATTTTTTTTTTTTTAAATATCAGGGACAAGAAACCTCATATTTTCCATGAACTTCTTCTGTATCCAAATGACATACTGTTATCACTAGCCAAGAAAACTTACTCCTGAAGCTGCTGCTTTTTTGTGTGAGAGGTGAGGCTCCAACTTACTTTGTCTTCATTTTAAAAGATTGAATGTTACTGTCACGTTTCATTGAAGTAATGTATTGCATTCTGGGGGAAGGAAAGATCCCTCTAAATCTCCATAAATGTCTTTTTTGCAAGCCATGTATGTTTGAAGCACTATTTTCATCTATATAATAATTGTCAGTGAGAAACGTTGTTTATTCCCGTAATTGTGAAGTAAGTATTACTGTTCACATACTTAATCAAATTTCTGAGCTAGCTGTTAATCATCTGCACTGAGGATACGTCGCTTCCACTCCCTCATTCTTACATGCAATGTGACTTCTGCATTTGCTCATCTTACATGTTTGTCATTAAGATTTAAGGTAGCTTAAGCTTTTTTATGAGGCTCATAACTGCAAAGTTTCCAGTCTTTTCAAAGCAGTTCTCTTTTGGTCACTCTGGTTTTGGTGAGACATATGCTTATCTTCAAGGGGGAGTATTGATACTATGTAAGTAAATAACCGGCTACATAAGTCAACTTTTTAATACGTCTGAGAGGGAAGTCAAACCATAAAGTCACTTCTGAGTATAATCGAGATCCCTCCGGCTTGGTACTTGTCCCACTGCACTTCAGCTTCAGCCTCCAAGTTTGCAGCTGATTCTAAACAAGCGTACCCTTAAACAGTGGTTTTAATGGCATAGCTGAATGCCTGTGGTCTATGAAATGTATTTGATTATAATTGCATGCTAGGTGACATAACTCGGAACAAATAAAGCGGACTTACAATTGCAAGGTAGAAGATGGGTTTGGGAGAGTAAAACTAAGACGATGACTGTCTGCAACAAACAAGGTTAAATGATCCCTTATGTTTCTTTGGTCACAGACTACAAACTAGATCTGATATGATCCTCTGCCAAAGCATGAGGCAGAGAGAACCAGGAAAACAAATGCAGAGCAGAAGACAGAACACCCAGAAATTAGGAGCCTGCTAGGTAGGAAGATGTCAGGATGCACAACTGGAGAGATTGGTTCATTTTGGATGTGGGTTGGAGGCTTCTTGGTCACCCAAGGAAAAATTTCTACCGAGCACTGTCAAATAAACTGCAAAGAAGAGGTATTGCTATGTGTTATAGGAATCCCATTTTCAGTTAAAGAAAGGCTGGTTATTTTCTGTAAACGTCTGCTGTTCTTTATAGGTGATAGCAGCTGGCCTCTACTGTAGGGGTTTAGGATAGTAACAGCAATATTTCAGTGACTGAAAGAAAACTTCCTGTAACTAGTGATAATATCCGTCTGCATTTGGTGCTCATGTCTTCTAGCGTGAGCTGAACTAGATTGTGGGGTGGGAAATTAAAAACAAAATTGAAACACTGTGATAAAGGTAAAGCAGATCTTATAGGAATACATCTTTCCATGATTAAAAACAGACGTTTGGCCTACTTCCAAATGCAACAAAAAGAGTCAGGCTGAAGTGTAGAGGTCTTGATTTTCTTGCTCTCTTGCTGGAGAAAATACTGAATCCATGGCTCCTCTGTAGGCTTCAGTATAGTCTCTGAGTGATGATGCCTGGTCAATATAGTCAGGAAGAGATATATAACCTGTGTAGTTTTTGAAAGTTAGTATATACATATATGAACTCTTAACAATCCAAGTGATCTTATACTTAATTGAGTTAAGCTGAAAAATACCTCTAGATAAAAAAGACCAGGCATTCTGTTTTCCTTTTTTCCCCCCCAATACTTTTTCCAGACTTCAGCAAATTGTGGAACAGTAACATAGAATCATAGAATCACTTCGGCTGGAGAAGACCTTTAAGATCATCGAGTCCAACCGTAAACCTAACACTGTCGAGTCCACCACTAAACCATGTCCCTAAGCATCACATCTATACGTCTTTTAAATACACCAGGGATGGTGACTCAACCACTTCCCTGGACAGCTTGTTCCAGCGCTTGATAACGCTTTCAGTGAAGAAATTGTTCCTAATATCCAATCTAAACCTCCCCTGGTGCAACTTGAGGCTGTTTCCTCTCGTCCTATTGCTTGTTACTTGGGAGAAGACACCTACCTTGCAACAACCTCCTTCCAGGTAGTTGTAGAGAG